TTTTTCTCTTTCCTCACTGACACTAATCTTAGTCAAAAAAGTACTTAGTAAAATTGTATTATATTTGGTTGATAGATTTCTGAAAAAGAGCAATTTTCCCTCGAAGCCACAACCCCATGAAAAGTCATTTATTATGAATTATTATTTGTAACTTCACGATTTTAAACTGAATACATATTAATTTAATCTGCTACACTGACAAACTGAGCCAGTCAACACACACACACACACACACACACACGACATCTGTGTTCCATCAAGTACAAACAACAGACTTCCGTGAAGACATAAACAAATAGGCGACGAGAGCTCATTTGCTGTATACTGGGCAGGGGAAAATGCCAGGATGACATTTGGCTGTATCTGATTGTAAGCGTGTGTGTGTGTGTGTATGTGTGTATGTGTGTGTGTGTGTGTGTGTGTGTGTGTGTGTGTGTGTGTGTGTGTGTGTGTGTGTGTGTGTGTGTGTGTGTGTCAACAGAGACAAGTGTTGAGTTTGTATAACCAGAAAAGAACATTAAGAGACTTCTAAAGCAGGAAAAGATTAGAAAACAGAGAAAGTTTTACTTAAACCTGATATAATAGAACAAAAGGGGGTATTAGAAATAAAGATATGTCCTTAATACAAACCTGTTTTTAATCAAGGCCAAGTGTTTCATGCAGTTGAGACCACTTTCTAGGGTATCTACAGAGCCCAAGGAAGTACAGAGTATAAGGAAAGTTTTTCTTAAGATTCTTGCATTAAGTATATACCATTCCTCCGGTATGATATGTTTTATTATTTAGGAGTCTAAGTCCCGAACTAAGGCAAACAAACTTTGGACTGACACTAGGTTGCATGCCTGAGAACATGTTGGATGTTGTACTGTATATATATATATATATATATATATATATATATATATATATATATATATATATATATATATATATATATATATATATATATATATATATATATATATTTGTATATATTTTTTTCAACCTTTCGAACTTTGCCTATGAGCTGAGATACATTTTAAAACAAGACTAAAAATATACAGCCATGCTGCTTTATGAGGTTGTATTCACAGTGATGCTTTAAACTCAATGCTAGAATCAGTGCAGTGTTAAGATGATAATACTAAGCTAGTTCACCATGTGAGTTTTGCTAATGAGTGATAAACAGAAAGTACAGTTAAGGCTGATGGTATGGGTAAAGGAAAACTCAGGGGATCACCAAAGTATTAAAATCCATGCTCTGGGGAATATGAATTTCTGAATAAAATGTGCCAATTAATCTAGATGGGAGGATATTTCACTGGATAAGGGAAAACGTTGGAGTACTAGGGCTGATACACATCACCAAAAGTAATTGAGCTGACATGGACTCGTAACGTCTGTACAAAACTCCCTGGCAAGCCAAGCAGTATGCATTGAGATATTCCATTCTGGGCTATAGCTGTGGACAGGCATTGGCTTGCATAGACTCATACTGCTAGAATGGCTAACAAGCAGAAGGGAATAAATTAAAACTGCACAGATTAAAAGTCCCTTTTTCTCCCAGTGATGTTAAGTCACAAGCTTCTCCCATTCTAGTGATCAAAAATTAAGCTGACCTAGCTGTCTTCAAGCTGATGGTGCAGAGGAGCTTACTGAATTCATTATGATTCTCAAGTCTGCCATTGTTGACTCCCCCACAGGCTCTGTCTGCTCTCAGTGTGCCTGCCAAGTCATGTTCAAATTATGAATATTTTCATAAATGGATTGCCTTTTTTTTCTTTTTTTCTCAATGCAAGAGCGGGCAGACTGTAACTACATAAAGGTTAGCGAGGCTTCTCCGTGTGCATAGCTCAAAACGCTGCAAAAATCCATTAAAAAAACCTATAGCCATCTGAAATTCAATCTGAAAATGGAATCCAACAAAAAATAGCAATCTTAACTGGAGTGAGAATAGGGGAGAGGGTGTAAAAAGAGCATGAAAAGTATGAAGAGATGAGTCAGTTGATGCCTCATCTTCAAACTCCGACAGCCTCCAAGTGTCTCAGTGGGTGGACCGGCTTTAATCAACTGGCCTTCATCTAAAACACAGGTTATTTAGAAGCACAACCCTCCACTGCTATCGCCTTTGAAGACTTCTGATTTATGATATGGTGGGAGTGACAGAAGATTGAGTGCCCCCCCTGTATCAGCTGTAATTGTATTGGGTTTATCCCTTTTTTCTTCAGCGTTAGCGCCTAAGGCGAGCTACGGGAAAAACTCAGATCTGCAGGACCTCTGAAACGCTTAGGGTCATTTCTCATTGAAGTTCGAAATAAAACAACTCAGTGCACTGGTTTTGATAAATAAAAACAAGCATGACGGCAATAGTCACTGTTGCTATGATCCGACATGTCATTACTAGCTATTTTTGTAATTTATTCACACTGTGGGAAACTGCTATTCTCCCATTTGTCATGATGTGCTTTAAGGATGTATTAAAAAAAGCCACAAAGTGATAATGAAGTAGTGGTATTTTAGTACTAGTATTAGTATTTAAAAATGTGATTAATGATGATAATTCACATATTATTGTGGTTGATGCGAATACATTTGATGTACTGTATGTTTTCTGTAAAAGAGTCCTCACTGAGTACACATATATAGCATTTGTTAATAAACACATCACCCTCAGGATAGCAGTTTTCCTTACTTTTATTTTGAAACCACTGATATATAAAACCTACCGCTTATCGTTTGCATTTTGAAAGGTTGTTATAGCCTTTAAGCCTCAAGCGTGTGCGAGCTGCAGCCCGATGCATAGTCAGCTTTAATTAATCATCTGTAACATTGTGTCTTTAGAATAATGTTGTAGGGGTTGTAACATTAGACAAAAGAGTGCTACACCATATAACAAAAAGCTTTCTTTTTCCCTTCCGTTGCACTAAAGTTTAATGTGTGCTTTTGTCTCTTACCACTCTCCCTACCCCCTCATTGCCACCCTGATCCTCTCCTCCCTCTACGCCTCCTCTTTTCCTCTCATCTTCACGAGGAGGGAAACTTTGCCCTTGGCGCACGACTTGGTAGTCAGTATGGCGAGCCAGCGAGGAAAGCTATGCGGAGTTGGGAGGATAGTGTGCTTGCATTCTTGTAAATGTGAATATAATACAGTTGACCACACGGTACCATGAGATGACAATGATTGATTGATCATATCATATGTTTACTTTAGTGTAATGAATCAGGGCAGCACGTCCCTATGTCCCGATGAATAGATAACCATGTGAGTTATTGCAAAATTGTGAAAAGAAGAGGATGAATGGCGCTATCAGTCACAGCCACATGAGAACGTGAGATTCACTTAACAAGCATAGGAGAGAAAACAGCGTTGCTCATCAGACTGCTGCTAACGTCGGTTTGATTTTAAGTTAAAACATCGGGATTGATCAACCACACTCGACTGACTATCATCAGTACAGAAGGTCAGTTTGCAACAGTGACTCATATCTGGTCCTTTTTGATTCCCTCCTATTGTGGCGTTTTACACTTCTCCTATGAGTGAGCAATGAAAAGACAGAAGGAAAGCGTGTACAATGAGTATAGAAATAATATAAGTGGTGTCAATCCATATTGATCCCAAGCATTAACCAGTTGAGCCCCGAGCCTGTTTTTCAGGTCTCAGGCTCGAAAATGATATTCCCAGAACAAATGACTATATCTTCACTTCTAAAAGGCGTAAATTAATAATCTTTTTTCTCAAAGCAATGATAAACCTGTGAGTTGGATGTAGAAGAGTCAGAATCAATATAGAATTTTTTTATTTTAAAGTAAACTCAGATTGAACATAGAAAAAAAATGTAAATTATAGTGTCCGTTTGGGTGCATTTTACATATCTATGGCCCCCCTAGGTCGGTTTTGATGATTGACACCTCTTTTTAACCGTTACAGCCAATAGAATCGAGGGGAAGTTCCTAAAATCCATCTAAACATTACCCATTGGTGAATGAGTGATGCGTAGCCAGAATGCCCAAAACAGGAAGCTGTCATACACTCTCGTAGCAGCTAATATGAAATCTCCGTTATTGACATAAATATGAAGATGGATTTTCAGTAATAATTTCAAAGTGACACAGACACATTGGATTAACCTATGGATTAACCTTCAGTAGCGTTTTAATGCCATTGAACACAACTTTTGATCAGAACAACAGCATAGGTAAGAATTGATCCTGTGTTTGCGCCGTAATGCTACGTGTTGTGATGTCTATGTTTGCTTCCCCTGTCGCGAGTTCTGATCGCTCAGTGATAATACTTATGTCTAGAATCTGTGGAATCTCAGCTTGCTAATCGATATCTTGTGTGTGCAGATCCGATAAGTAATAAGGGTATTTTACCATGAGTTCTGTGCTAATTGCGTTAGCATTTTTTCGCTCAGGGCTAATTCAGAGCCTTTGTTATTACCCTTTTGTTTCGTTTAGCTAAACATGGTTAATATTGTCTGAAAGCTGAGTTTCTTCCCGTTAAGTGAGTATGACACATTCATAGTTTATTAAATGTTAAGAAGCCCTCAGACGCTGTTTCTTGCAAGATGTTGCGTTGACACCCTTTCAAGTAGAGAACATGTGAGACAAGAGAAAGAAAGGCAAAAGGCAGAGTAGCCAAAGAGCAGAGATGATGTTTGTGTGTGATGATATTACACTGTGTTGCTACTGTTAAAAAGCCAAGTCCCCCCAGTGAGCTGGCAACCAAAGTCACCTTCTGGCAGCTGTCTACTGTCATCTACTAATGCACTCACAACGACTTCTGAACCCCACAGTTAATGATCGGGGAGGTAATGGAGAGGGATGTAGGCCATGAACAGCCTCTGCAGTCTGTTTGTTTTTCCCACACAAACCCAGATTCATTTACAGGGAAATAAGCAATGTACAGTATATCACCATGAGGGTCACCAGCAGGTTGTGAAAACATGTAGTATATAAGGCTCTCTCGATGTAGGAACATATAGCTTTATGGCGCCCCCTGTGTCTTGTGTGAACATTACCTGAAAGTCCCTCTCCTCTAGAATTTCTTTCCTCCACCTCACCAGGAAGGCTGCGCACACGTAGAGGTGGAAATGGGAGAAGCCCTCTGGTTCAGCCTGGAAAAAAGAGACAGAAATGTTGAGCACAGATCTTGATTTGCAACAAGTTTAGCATTTCACACACTCTGCTATGTAACTATGTTCAAATAGAAGCTTCAGTTTGGATGGAAAAGGGCCTCAGTGTCCTCAGGAAATCACATTTCATTTTAAGAAAAGACTTGGAAGAATTTTAAGAGGATGTATTTAGGCGGCGTAGACACAAAAGGAAGGGGAAGAGATATAAAGGCAGAGAATATAAAACATGTATCTGTCACAATCCAGAAATTCACATTCGCAGGGCGACAGAGGAAGAAATAGACAAATCCCCTCTTCCTCGCACAGCTTTTTATTTCAACCCCTCGTTACGTTATGACTCGGGAATGAGCTGGGGAATTAAAGAGGGAGGGAGACAAAGGATGAGATGTTCCTTGTTCTATTCTTTTTTTCTCCACATCCCTATCACACGGGGGATAATTACCAGAGCCTTTAAATGCGAGTGAAAAGGGAGCGTATGCCGCCCTTAAAGGTGGGATAGAATATCAGAAGTGCATTTTAATGTGTGCTTTTCTGAATGCCTTCGCACATTATGCCTGTGCTGGGGATTAGTTAGCCACATGCTGTATGTTATTTTAGCTTAAATTCATGGAATTATATTGTGGGAAAAGGACGTATAACTCAGTCTTAACTCACAAATACACGTGGAAAAAACACTAAAGTCAATCCCACTCTTAGTTATAGAAAGAATTCATAAATTATTCCTAAAGTGTGGCCTCATGGGTCTTCTTTGATAATACGTGGTGCTTAGAAAAAGCATCATTAAAGAGGGCTTTTTCTTCTTTTGGGAGTTTTCTCTTTCCTGTTGTATAGGTCATTTGTGTGCATGTCAATGGTCTGAAAAGGCTAAAATCCCAAAGTTCCTTCCATATGGAGTTTCTCTCCCACACACTCCTTTGTTTACTTCGGTAACATAGTGACATCAAATTGTCAAAATGTACCACCCAGACATCATTTACAGTAACAGGAAACTGACTCACACACTAAGTATAATTCAAAATGATGCTTTGACAGATGAGAAAAAGAAAAAAGCCTGAACGACACACACATGTTCCAATACTTCAGCCATGTTTTAATACTGTAATTAGAGGGTGTTGTCATTATCATTTCCACTTCTTTTAGTTACCAAGTGTTGCCCTTTAAACACAATGTTATGTGTGTAACAGAGAGCAATCACTCTGCAGGAATTTACAGGAAGTGCCTTTCTGCTGTGATACTGTAGTTGCATTTCCCAACAGGAAGGCAGGAAGAAATAATGGACGTATTTACACAGAGACATGAAAATAAGAAAGGCTGGATGTGAGCTCTCCATCTCCGCTGTTTCTTCTTGTGTTAAGTCTTTTGTAACAGATTGATCACCCTACGCCTTTTGTGAGTGTCTCCTTTTGCTTGGCTTTCCTCTTACTTTACCTCCCACTTAGTTAAACCAATTTTCAGAATTCCTCAACTGAGAGTATTTGCGAGGAGTGTGGTGTGAGAGAGGGTGTTTGTGAACAGCGAAGCGTAGCGTGATTCGAGTTGTAAACTGGCAGGTGATTGGCTTGTTGGTCTAACCTTGCATCTTCAATGCAAACAACAGAGGCGAGCAAACACACTCTCACACACACAGATGAGTTACGAGTATACGAGTGGCATACGGGAGCACAATGTTTATCACCCTCCAAGCTGCGTGTGGTTTTAATTTCCTTTCTTCTATGAGATTTTCTCTCTGTGAGTGTGAGTTCATGGATGAGGGCACCAATGAACTCTTAGGGACTGTGGAACTCTGAAATCCAGTCTCTTTGTCGGTCCCCTGATCCTCTTTTTCAGTCATCTATCCTCCGTTCTCACATTCTTCAGTCTCATTTAACACATCTGTCGCCCACCCTCCTCTCTTTTTCTCATTAATACGACTATGGGGAATATATCACAGATGAGACATCGATTTATCTTGATCAAAAACATTTTCTGTTAACAACTTATCTTGATATTTTTCATTTGTCACCAATCATTTCCATGGCTCTCCACCATTAATTTGAAAATGTATTGCCTTCATTCCATAGTGAACTAATGACAGCACTTTATGTGTGTCTGGCAGCAGAAAGAAGAACAATACTGAAATAAATGCTCACTTTGAGTATGACTCAATCACAAGGTAGTGTGAGGCTTTTAAGGTGCAATTTCTGCATCTGAAGTCAAGACAACACTCACTATAGGAAGGCTCCTTAAGTGCAGGATTGTTTAGAAAGAAAACTGAATATTTGGTTTTGTGCCTGACTGACAGACTGCACATTGAAGACCAACATTTATTTTTGCTGAACTAAACACTCAGTTACTTGAGTGATCTTAAGTAATTCATTAAGTTAAAATGATAAACATTGTTTGTTTTTTCACTTCTGAAATGTATAACATTTTCTTATAATTTTAAATGAACTATCTTTGGGTTTTAGATGTAAACAAATATCAAGGAAATGTAACTTAAGCTGTGAGAAATATTACCAAAATGTTATACAGATGTATCGCTGAACAATTTTTGAGTGCTCAAATGGATGGAGTCAAATAAAGAATCCCGCCAGAAAAACAGGTCACATCATTGAAGACTATTTTGACATCTTGGAAAACACTAAATATTATTTTTGCTGAGTTTCATGAGAAAGTTGATACACTGTTTTGTCTAACACTAGAGCCCAGAGGCAGTTAGCTTAAACAGCAAAAAGACACTTTGTGTACCACAAAAAATATAGAAAATGTCAGCCTGTTTCCCATTGATTTCAGTCTTTATGCTAAACTAAGCTGAGCTACTCCACTTCCAGCTAAAGCGTGAATTATCGTTAACATACAAAAGCAAACTTTGTATGAGAAAAAAACTAACAGATAATGATGACTCCAGTAGGGGTTGGTTGCAAACATAGTTACTGGGAAAAATGTTTATAAAAAAAATACAAAAAAATAAAATAAATGTTACAGCATGACATTTCAACATCTTTGCCAGCACTCATCACTCTCTTTCTCCCCCATTTCCCTCTCTGACACTCTCCATTCCCAATATATCCACTGCTGCTGTTTCAGCATCATTATGATTTGCACAAAAAAAAAGTTTGTCATGGGTGTCAAGGTAACTGTCAAACTTGTCTCTCTCTCTTCTCCTCCTCTGTTATTATGCTCGGTCCCCTCCCCCCCTTGTGTCGGGGCAGCCATATTGCCTGAGACAGGCCAGGCTCAGACTGACGAGCGCTGCTGATTGAAGTAGAGAAAAAAATGCCCGAAGGTTGAAGGGGTGAGAGGCAACAGTGGGGGAGAGATGGAGGCGCAGCGAGAGGATTCAACAAGGAGAGAGGTAAGAGGTAAGGGGGAGTGCACAAGAGTACAGAGAAGATAGGGGGCTAAAGGTGAACAGAGGAGACAAAGGGAATGAGGAATGCTGAGTGAGGATGAGAAGTTTTAATGCAAAGTCACAGTGTCTGTAAACTGCTGCGTCGACTGTCTGACTTGTCTAATCCCACCAAAAACAAAGCATCCTGACGTGGGCCTAACACGATACCCTGAGGAACTGATTCCAGACAAGGTGAAAAGGTGATGCTGCTGGGGAGTGATGCAAGATGATAAACGAGCAGATTCAAAGTGATGTAACAATTACATGGGAAGATTGTGATGAAGTGCAGGCACTGGAGTGGTAATTTTAAAGCAATTTTCTTATTACATGAACAAGACTTTGGCAGTGATTGGCGATATTCGCCATTAACTGCAAAACGCTGTGCAAGTATTTCTGTGTGCAATTCAACACGATGGGGCTTGGGTCGCGTGCACGACATAGAAGTTTTACATTTAAACACTGTATCTGTTGAACATCACTATATTTATGACGAAATGGAGAGTAACACGTTCAACATCACAGTATATTAGCTCTGCGATAAATGTTTCCTTCGAAAATCGTATAATCCTTGTTTCACAGTGATTGTGTCCAAGACAGAGGGTAAAAAGAGAAACAGGGAGAAATGGTGATGCTCATGTCAGCGGGAGTGTGACAGAGGGGCACAGAGAGGAGAATATTATGTGTGAGTGTGTGGATTAATGGCAGACTGAAAAGGCTAGGTGTGTGTATGACCCGGGTTCTGTCTACAGAGGCCTAGCTCATTGTTTGAAGCGAACGCAAGGCCAAACCTTACAACAGATAGAGGCGGAGAAGCGGAAAAGTGAAGAGGGCCAGTTCCCTCTGGGATGCTCACACAATCCCCGTCTAATGCAGTTGGCAGGTATTCATATTCAAGACAGCATGTAACCCTTGTATAGTCTGATAAAGATATGAAGGTCTGAGCCACTGCATTCAGAAGGTTATTTTTCTTAGTGTTACTTCAGAGGAACTGTTCTATTTTCAATTTGAATAATGCCGTCAAAGAAATTCAAGCTCAATTGGATCACTACTTCACTGCTTTTTACTATCACTCATGTCTACACTCAACATCTCCACACAGAATAAAGCTTTTTGATGGGTACTCAAGGCTATGCAACATTTGAGCGTGTGGTATTTGAGTGGTAGAAGAAGTTATACATAAATGATACTTCAGAAATGGGTTGGGTTTTATTTAGTAACACTAAGAGGGGAAAAAAGGAGCCGGTTAGCATGTAAACTTTGCTTTTCAGTTTACTCCCTTATAAACAGCCATGCAATGTGTGGTAAGTTAAATTATAGAGTATATATATAGCTGCTCTGCTATCTCTAACAAATATAAAAAAATAAGTTTCTTTGGATATATTTTGTATGATATCGTCAATGCACTAAAAATAAATATTTTAATCAAATGTAGTTAATTATTTATTTGGCAGTCACTTTATTTGAAACTTGCATTTTCCCAATATAAAAGATAACATGCTAGAGGCAGCCAATGGTTAATAATGCAAGGACGTAATGGATACAAATAATTTAAAACGTTTTAGTTAATAGCTTCACATCCCCATTTAGACTGTTGATTGCCATGTCGTGCTAA